TCCTGCCTCAGCCTCCTGAGTAGCTGGGATTACAGGCACGTGCCACCATGCCCAGCTGATTTTTTGTATTTTTAGTAGAGACGGGGTTTCACCATGTTGACCAGGATGGTCTCGATCTCTTGACCTCGTGATTCACCCGCCTCGGCCTCCCAAAGTGCTGGGATTACAGGCTTGAGCCACCGCGCCCGGCAAAAAATTTTTTCTTAGTTCTCATAAGATCTGAATCAATTTTGTATTTTTCAATTTTTTTTTTTTGAGACAGAGTCTCGCTCTGTCGCCCAGGCTAGAGTGCAGTGGCACAATCTCAACTCACTGCAACCTCTGCCTCCCAGGTTCAAGGGGTTCTCCTGCCTTAGCCTCCCAAGTAGCTGGGATTAAGGCGCCCGCCACCATGCTTGTAAATTTTTGTGTTTTTAGTAGAGATGGAGTTTTACCATGTTGGCCAGGCTGGTCTCAAACTCCTGACCTCAGGTGATGTGCCCACTTTGGGCTCCCAAAATGCTGGGATTCCAGGCATGAGCCACTGTGCATGGCTGTATTTTTATTTTAATGAAAAAAAAATTGTTTTTTGAGACAGAGTCTTACTTTGTTGCCCAAGGTGGAGTGCAGTGGGGTGATCTTGGCTCATGGCAATCTCCACCTCCCAGGTTCAAGTGATTCTCCTGCTTCAGCTTCCTGAGTAGCTGGGACTACAGGTGTGTGCCACCATGCCTGGCTAATTTTTGTACTTTTAGTAGAGACAGGGTTTTGCCATGTTGGCCAGGCTGGTCTTGAACTCCTGACCTCAAATGCTCCACCTGACTTGACTTCCCAAAGTGCTGGGAATACATATGTGAGTCACCACATTGGACCTGTATTTTATTAAAGAAAAAAATTGGGCATGGCACAGTGGCTCACGCCTGTAATCAGTGCTTTGGGAAGTGAGGCAGGCGGATCACAAAATCAGGTGTTCGAGACCAGCCTGGCCAACATGGAGACACCTCATCTCTACTAAAGATAGAAAAAATTAGCCGGGTGTGGTGGTGGGTGCCTGCAATCCCAGATATTCGGAGGCTGAGGCAGGAGAATCGCTTGAATTTGGGAGGTGGAGGTTACAGTGAGTTGAGACCTTGCTGCTGCACTCCAGCCTGGGCAACAGAGCAAAACCCTGTCTCAAAAAAAAAAAAAAAAAAAAAAAAATTAGGATCTCACAGTAAATATACGTGTATATTTTCTCTCTCATCATGAATGGTAGTTTCATTTGACATTTGAAAATGGAGCATTTATAGTGTTCCCATAAGTTAATTTTGCTGTCTTTTCAGTGGAGAAGAGTTTTTCCCAACATCTAATAGTCTTCTTCATGGAACACATGTGCCTTCCACAGAGGAAATTGACAGAATGGTCATAGATTTGGAAAAACAGTAAGTATTCAGTAGAGCAGCCTGACATTGTAAATAGTTAGTGACAAATGCACTTAAAGTATGCACCTGAATCTCATGTGCTTAGAATGAATTGAAAAGATATAAATTACACTTGCTAATTTCTGATGCATCTATAGTGGTTTGGGAGTAGATAGCAAGTATGGGTTGAACATGTATGACTTGGAGTGGAGATGCAGAATGTTGATGAAATGGAATTGTTATAAGTAAAGGGGAAAGGTCTAAAAAAAAAGGATCCTTCTTTAAGGACTTTAACAGTTACTCCCCTGTTTGATTTGAAGAAACAAGAATGTTGTAGTAAATGTTCCTCAATTATGTTTGTGTTTCCTAATTCTGATAGAGGCAACTATTCAGTAGAGCAGAATGAAAATATATTAGGAGTTAATACGTGTAAAGTATTAAGAATGGTGTCTGGGCTGGGCGTAGTGGCTCCTGCCTGTAATCATAGGCCTTCAGGAGATTGAGGCAGGAGGATCGCTTGAGCCCAGAAGTTTGAGAACAGCCTGGGTAACGTGGCAAAACCCTGTCACTACAAAAAGAATACAAGAATTAGCTGGGCATGGTGGTGCATGCCTGTAGTCCCAGCTACTTGGGAGACTCAGTCAGGAGGATCACTTGAGTCTAAGTGGTCGAGGGTGCAGTGAACTGTGATTGCACCACTGCACTCCAGTTTGGGTGACAGAGTGAGACCCTATGTCAAAACAAACAAACAAACAAACAAAAAGCAGTGTCTGGCACATATTGTGCACTCAGTATTAGCTGTGATTATTTAATATAATTTTTTTTTCGAGATGGAGTCTCACTCTGTTGCTCAGGCTGGAGTGCAGTGGTGTGATCTCGGTTCACTGCAGTCTCCGCCTCTCAGGTTCAAGCTACCTCCAGAGTGGTTGGGGCCACAGGCATGCGCCACCACTCTTGGCTAGTTTTTGTATTTTTAGTACAGATCCAGTTTTGCCATGTTGATGAGGCTGGTCCCGAACTCCTGACCTTAGGTGATCCACCTATCTCGGCCTCCCAAAGTGCTAGGATTACAGGTGTGAGCCATGGTGCCTGGCCTATTTAATATAATTATTGTTACAGTTATCTTCTTATTTAAAAAATGTATTAAAAATTTTTTTATAGTGATGCAGTCTCTGTGTTATCCAGGCTGGTCTGGAACTTGTGAGTTCAAGTGATCCTCTTAAAAAATGTATTTAAAAATATTTTTTTATAGTGATGGAATCTCTCTGTGTTGTCCAGGCTGGTTTGGAACTCCTGAGGGCAAGCGATCCTCCCAAAGGACCTTTTGGGAGGCCTTGTCCTTCAGAAATACTAGGGTTACAGGCATCAGCCGCCATGACCAGCTAATAGCTATCTTCTTCTTTTTTTTTTTTTTTTTTTTTTGAGATGCAGTTTTGCTCCTGTTGCCCAGGCTGGAGTGCAATGGCGCATTCTCAGTTCACTGCAACCTCTGCCTCCCAGGTTCAAGCGGTTCTCTTGCCTCAGCCTTCCAAGTAGCTGGGATTACAGGCTTGCACAACCATGCCCAGCTAATTTTGTATTTCTCCATGTTGGTCAGGCTGGTCTTGAACTCCTGACCTCAGGTGATCCGCCCGCCTTGGCCTCTCAAACTGCTGGAATTACAGGTGTGAGCCACAGTGCCTGGCCTAATAAGTTATCTACTTTTAAGTGGTGCTTCGGTACAGTCGAGCTCCCAACAATTGAATCATTGCTTTAGCAATCTGAAGATGAATTTGTGTTTACTGGATTTCATAGTTCATATCCTGAGTTGTGCCATTAATTCAGTTTCAACTGGAACTTGATGAAAACTGGCCTGGCTTCCTCCAGCCCCCACAACGTGTGCAATTCTAAATGTAGATTTTATTCTTAACTGTTTGGTGATATCTTATTAAGATCAAAAGAGAAGGCAATTTTGAATTTTGTAAATTTTCTTCTTTCCTCAGGATTGAAAAACGAGACAAATATAGCCGGAGACGTCCTTATAACGATGATGCAGATATTGACTACATTAATGAAAGGAATGCCAAATTCAACAAGAAAGCTGAAAGATTCTATGGGAAATACACGGCTGAAATTAAACAGAATTTGGAAAGAGGAACAGCTGTCTAATTCCTTCAAGAACTGTTTATAGAAGCTTGAGAATGGGGTAAAAATTTCTATCAAAATCAAGTTCTTTTTGAAATTTTATCAGTAATCTAGAATTTAGTAGTCTATGTCTTCTCACTCAGCATTTAGAAATAAAAATACTGTTTCTTAAACGTATATCCTTCCATGTATATTTCCACATTTTTGTGCTTGGATTTAAGATGTATTTCTTGTAGTGAAGTTGTTTTGTAAAAATCTACTTTGTATACATTCTAATTATATTATTTTTCTATGTATTTTAAATGTATATGACTGTTCAATCTTTGAAGCATTTTGGGCTTAAGATTGCCAGCAGCATACATCAGATGCAGTCATTGTTGCAATCAGTGTGGAATTTGACAGAGTCTAGACTCAGGAGCCACTCGGGGTTGTGGACTCCAAAGGTAAGGACAGTGATGAGGAAGATGGCAGTGGCTACTGGAGGGCTGCGGCAGTCACTCCTTGTGGCGGCCAGTGACCAAGGTCAGGGAGGAGTGAGCTATCCCCTCATGATACTGACCATGTATAGTTCCCTTTTTGAAAAGCAATAAAATGCTTTGGATTAGAATTCCTAACATTTTTTGTGTATCATTTACACAAATGTTTGTATGTATACATTTGTATATTACACATACGTGCTTTCATTCTGCAAATACTGAAAGAACGTTTTATTATGGGAAATTTCAGTACCCTTGTTGAATCCCATATGCTTAGTACCCTGTTTAACAATTATCAACTCATGGCACCTCTGCTTCATTTTTATTTCTATCAATTTTCTCCTTCACGACTCTTATTTTGATGCAAATACCGTATATATAATTTCATCTATAAATACTTTTGTATGTATCTCTGAAAGATAAAGACAAAGAAAATGACCACAACACTATTATCACTGCAATAGATTTATTTTCATAAAACTCTAGAGAAAACCAGGCGTGGTGTTGTGTGCCTGTAGTCCCAGCTACTTAGGAGGCTAAGGCTGGAGGATCGCTTGACTACAGGAGCTCTGGGCTGTAGTGCCCTAGGCCGATGGGGTGTCTGCACTAAGTTCCGCGTAAATATGGTGACCTTCTGGAAGCGGCGGGGGACCACCAGGTGGCCTAAGGAGTGAACCTGCCCAGGTCAGAAACGGAGCAGGTCAAAACTCCCGTGCTGATCAGTAGTGGGATTGCGCCTGTGAATAGCCTCTGCATTCCAGCCTGGGCAACATAGTGAGACCCTGTCTCTCAAAAAAAAAAAAAAACCTCCAGAGAAAGAGTTATTTTTTCTGTATGTTGAATTAAATGCTAAATATCTAATTGGGATATTTTAAATTCAAAGAAATCTGAAGCTCAGAAAATTTCAAATATTGGCTGGGTGTGATAGCTCACGCCTGTAGTCCCAGCACTTTGGGAGGTCGAGGCAGGTGGATCACTTAAGATCAGGAGTTCGAGACTAACCTGGCCAACATGGTGAAACCCCATCTCTACTAAAAATATAAAAATTAGCCGGGTGTGGTGGCAGGTGCCTGTAATCCCAGCTACTAGGGAGGCTGAGGCGGGAGAATCGCTTCAGGGAGATAGTGGCTGCAGTGGGCACTGCACTCCAGCCTAGGTCACAGAGCAAGACTCTGCCTCAAAAAAAAAAAAAAGAAAAAATTCAAATACTTCAACTTTAGTGTTTAAAGACAATATAACATATGATGCCACTGGTGACTAATAGATTATTCTCTTTAACATAGCACTTTAGAAAAAAATTTTTGTTCTCCCTTTTTTTCCTGTTTCTTCTCCTGGCATTTCTTTTTTTTCATACCCAACTGCAATGTGAAAAAGAACATAACAAGGTTATTTATTTTTTTGTAGAGATGAGGTCTCACCATGTTGCCGAGGCTAATTGCGAACTCTTGGGCTCAAGCAGTCCTGCCTTGGCCTCCGTGAGTGCTGGGATTACAGGTATGAGCTGCTGAGCCCAGCTCCTCTCCTGGCATTTCTATGTGCATTTAATCACAGATCTATCGCAAAGGCTTGATGCCTCACAATAGCCTTAAAAAACATCTTTTTTTTTTTTTTTTTTTTTGGAGCCGGAGTTTTGCTCTTGTTACCCAGGCTGGAGTGCAATGGCGCGATCTCAGCTCACCGCAACCTCCGCCTCCTGGGTTCAGGCAATTCTGCCCCAGCCTCCTTAGTAGCTGGGATTACAGGCACGCACCACCATGCCCAGCTAATTTTTTGTATTTTTAGTAGAGACGGGGTTTCACCATGTTGACCAGGATGGTCTCGATCTTTTGACCTCGTGATCCACCCGCCTCGGCCTCCCATGGTGCTGGGATTACAGGCTTGAGCCACCGCGTCCGGCCAAAAAACATCTTAAAAATACTGTTGAATAGAACATGGCAATGTAATTAAAAGAACAACTCACTGTGACGCAGCAGGGTTTGTTCTAAGAATGCAGGAGTAGTGTGTAGATTATGAGTTGCCTGGTTTAATTCTTCGTTACCAACCAGCACCCAGATGTTTTTGTGAATTTGTGGTAGTATTTCCAGATAAACACTTGGTTCCCCAGCTTGACTTATTATAGGTGGTCAGATGTTATAATTCTGGCTAATAGGACACAGGCTAGCTTTCTTTTGAGAAACCTTTTCTTTCCTGATGTGGGAGGAGGTGCTGCCCCTCTTCCTCCCCTCCTCCTTGGATCACATCCAGGAGCCCTGGAGTTGCAGAAGCCTTTTGTGTCATGAAGTAGCAAGCATGAGGATAAAAGCTAACATGGAGGGAGAGTGGAGCAGAGCTTGTGTTGCGGTGCTGAGCAACTGTACCTAGATGTCCACCTCTTTTCCCCTTACTTGCTGTTGAATAAATTTATTAGGCTGGTGCAAAAGTGATTGCGGTTTTGGCCATTATTATTTTTTTATTTTTATTTTTATTTTTGAAATGGTCCAGGAGAATACTATTTTTTTTTGTTTTTTTGAGGTGGAGTCTTGCTCTATTGCCCAGGCTGGAGTGCAGTGGCATGATCTCAGCTCACTGTAACCTCCACCTCCCAGGTTCTCCTGCCTCAGCTTCTCAAGTAGCTGGGATTATAGGTGCCCACCACCACACCCGGCTAATTTTTGTATTTTTAGTAGGGACAGGATTTTGCCATGTTGGCCAGGCTGGTCTCAAACTCATGACCTCAGATTATCCACCAGCCTCAACCTCCCAATGTGCTGGGATTACAGGTGTGAGCCACCGTGCTTGACCTTTGCCATTACTTTTTTTTTTTTTTTTTTTTGA